GATCTCCTGATGGCCCCTGGTATTTCTGGCCACTGTGTGACAGAGTGTTGGACTAGATGGGCCTTTGGCCTGACCCAACATTGGCGTCTCTGGTGTTCTTATGTTAATAGAATAAAATGGTGCTTCGACCACGGAACGGCAGCTGCAAACGGAAATGCGTTTGCACTCGCCCACTCTCCATTCTCTTAAAAACTATGATTCGGTTCTAATCTGAAGAGGAGGTAATCCCGCCATCTGTGCACTTGAAGCACACCGTTTTCCTGCATTCCTCTCTGATCCTGCAGCTCGTTCTGACCCTCATAGGACTGGAGTGGGGGAAGAGAACCCCAGATGGGCCCTGCTGGATCAGACCAAGGAGGGTCCTTCTTTCTCTACCTGCTCTATCCCATGCATAATCTTATAAACCTCGATCGTGTCACCCCTCAGCCGTCGTTTCTCCAAGCTAAAGAGCCCCCCAAGCGCTTTAACCTTCCTTCCTAGGGAAAGTGTTCCGACCCTTTGATCATTCGAGTTGCCCTTTTCTGCGCCTTTCCCAATGCTATAATATCTTTTTTGAGGTGTGGTGACCAGAACTGTACACAGTACTCCAAATGAGTTTGCTCCATCGATTTATACAGGGGGCACGATGATACTGGCTGATCTGTTTTCAATTCCCTTCCTAATAATCCCCAGCATAGCATTGGTCCTTTTTATTGCAGTCGCACACTGTCTTGACATTTTCAGTGAGTTATCTACTACAACTCCAAGATCTCTCTCTTGATCAGTCTCTGCCAGTTCAGACTCCAAGGTCTCTCTCTCTCTCGGTCAGTCTCTGCCTGTTCGGTTTTCGTGGCATTGGACCTTCCTGCACCCTCTCAAAAATTGTCCCCCTTCCTTTCTCCCTATAGCCGACGACAGGGGCCTGCTTCCTATTGAGGACCCCCAACCAGAAGACCCCGCCAACCCGCCCCTGCTGCTCTTCTTCCCGGGCGGATCGGTGGCCCCCATCTGCAACGGCAACATCGGCGAGAGCCAGCCCCTCTCCAGCCTCCACGGCTCCTGCGTTGGGGGCAGAGCCGGCGGGAACGACCCCAGCTCTCCCGCGGCGACCGCCGAGGCGGCGATGGACCGGCCCCACACCTGCCCGGAGTGCGGGAAGACGTTCAGCCTCCTCCTGAGCCTGCAGATCCACCAGATGAACCACCAGAAGAAGAAGCGCTACGAGTGCGCCTACTGCGGCTTCGCCTTCGGCTGCCCCTCGGAGCTCCTCCGCCACGAGATGACCCACACCAAGGAGAGGCCCTACAAGTGCACCGTCTGCGGGAAGGGCTTTGTGCGCAAGCAGCACCTCATCCCCCACCTGCGGCTCCACACGGGCGAGAGGCCCTACCACTGCACCGAGTGCGGGAAAGACTTCATCTGCAAGCACCACCTCCTGGAGCACCAGCGCACCCACACGGGGGAGAGGCCCTACGCCTGCGCCGAGTGCGGGAAGACCTTCCGGCGCAAGAAGTCGCTGAAGGACCACTTGCACATACACGGCCCTGGGCAGGGCCCGACGGACTCGGCCCAGGGGCACCCGGACGAGCCCCAGAACGTCACGGACCTCAGAGCAGAAAGCGCCAGGTAGCAAAGAGCGGGGTCCTGCTCCCGTGTTCCCCAAAGAAGGCCACGCTCCCGTGGCCAGTCGTTGCTCCAAACTCAGAACTGGCTGGGGGAAAAGGTGGCCGGGGGTACAGCCAAAATAAGGCGGAGCTCGCTGGGCCTCATTTCTCCTGCTCCTCCGGGGCCCCAGGGAGGGGTTATGCCCGGCAGCCAGGGCTCTTTTTGTAGAAAAAGCCCAGCAGGAACTCATTAGCATAATAGGCCACACCCAATAGCAGGAACTCATTAGCACATTAGGCCACACCCCTACAGCAGCACTCATTAGCATATTAGGCCGCACCCCCATGTTACCAGAAGTGTGGTCATCCAGCCACACCAACCTTTTGCTTCTTATTCTGTTTACCTTGTTTGTTGTCCAAACCCAGGGCCTTTTTTTGGAGCAGGAACTCCTTGGCATGTTAGGCCACACACCCCTAATGTAGCCAATCCTAATGAGTTCCTGCTGTTGGGTGTGGCCTGTTATGCTAATGAGTTCCTGCTGGGCATGGCCAGCTCGGGAGCCAGCCGGAACTCCGTTCCTGTGCGTTCCTGCCCAAAAACAGCCCTGCCCGGCACTAAAGCCCACCCCCCACGAATGGAAGCCCCACAGAGGCCCTTTCTCACGCTGCTGCCTCTCTCGTTCTTTCTCATCTGTCTGGTCCCGTTTCCCCTGTCGGGTTGTTGTTCTCGACCCAGTTCAGAAAACTCTCTGTGAATGCAAGCCCCTTTGCCATCAGCTCGCGTGGACTGTGTGTGTGCTGGCAGGGTCCTTCTTTTGTTTTCACTTTTTCCGTATGGCACTTCGTGGCTTTAGGCACTTTACAGTAATAAAGAGGATCGTCTGCCAGTGTGACGTTCTAATGCCGGCGGTCAACTGACCAGGGTCGTTTTTGGTTACACTGCCTGTTATTGAGTACGGGGTCCCTGCGGACGTCATGGCGTCCTATCAACACCTTCCCTGGCGCCTGCCAAGTGTTGGGGGGAGGGGGGACCCAAGAGGGAAGAAGATGAGATTGGATCAATACCCCATCCCCTTCACTCGGAGTCTCAGAGCAGCTTACCAACTCCTTTCCCTTCCCCTCCCCACGACACCCAGTGAGGTGGGTGGGGCTGAGAGAGCTCTTTCCAGAACTGTCTTTGGGAGAACTCGTGACTGACCCAAGGTCACACCAGCAGCTGCATGTGGGGGAATCAATCCCGGTTCTCCCAGATTAGAGTCCGCGCACTTAACCAGGACACCAAACTGACTGGATTTATACCCCGCCCTTCACTACCCAAAGGAGTCTCAGAGCGGCTTACAAACTCCTTTCCCTTCCCCTCCCCACAACAGACACCCGGTGAGGTAGGTGGGGCTGAGAGAGCTCTGACAGAAACGGCTCTTTTTTCAAGGACAGCTCTTATCAGAACTACGGCTTGCCCAAGGTCATCCAGCAGGTGCAAGTGAAGGAGGAGTGGGGAATCAAACCTGGTTCTCCCAGATGAGAGTCTGCACACTTAACCACTACACCAAACTGACTTTTACACAGCTTTGGAGAATAAAAAACGTCACCTAAGCTTCCAGTTTCTCATGCCAGCAGTGTGAAGTTCTTAAGAAGAGATTGGATTTATACCCCACCCTTCACTACCCAAAGGAGTCTCAGAGCGGCTCACAAACTCCTCTCCCTTCCCCTCCCCACAACAGACACCCAGTGAGGGAGGTGGGGCTGAGAGAACTCTGACAGAAACGGCTCTTTTTCAAGGACAGCTCTTATCAGAACTAAGGCTTGCCCAAGGTTATCCAGCAGCTGCAAGTGGAGGAGTGGGGAATCAAACCCGGTTCTCCCAGCAAGGCTTCTGATTAGCCGCTGGAGACTTGACTGGCTCTGCAGGCTTAAAAAAATGCTGTTTTGGCAGCAGCTGCTACCACAGCACAAGTGTCTTCACAGTGCGATTGAAGTGAAGCTGCGGCAGCCATTTTGTGGCTGCACCCACTGTGCTGTGCCAGAAGTTCAAAGGTGCCCAGAGGCTGAAAAGGTTGGGGACCAGTGGTCACACCAGTGCTCCATCTGGTCCAGCATCACACAGTGGCTCTGGAGGGCCAGCAACAGGGCATGGAGGCCGAGGCCTTCCCCTGAGAAGAACATCAGAAGAGCCCTGCTGGATCAGACCCGGGAAGGTCTATCTAGTCCAGCCTCCTGTCTCACACGGTGGCCAGCCAGTCCCTCCGGAGGGCCAGCAACAGGGCAGAGAGGCCGAGGCCTTCCCCTGAGAAGAACCTCAGAAGAGCCCTGCTGGGTCAGACCAGGGAGGGTCCATCTAGTCCAGCCCCCCGTCTCACACAGGGGCCAACCCGTTCCTCTGGAGGGCCAGCAACAGGGCAGAGAGGCCGAGGCCTTCCCCTGAGAACTCCAGAAGAGCCCTGCTGGATCAGATCACTGAAGGTCCATCTGGTCCAGCATCCCGTCTCACACATTGGCCAACCAGTTCCTCCAGAGGGCCAAGAACAGGGCATGGAGGCCGAGGCCTTCTCCTGATGTTGCCTCCTGGCTTAGTGCCTCTGGATGTGGAGGTTTCCCTCAGTCACCACGGCTACTAGCCACTGATAGAGTCCTCCTCCATGACTCGGTCTAACCCCCTTCTAAAGCTGTTTGTTACTGTGGCCATCACGACATCCTCTGGCAGCGAACGCCACACTTTAATCACTCTCTGTGTGAGGAAGACAAAATCAGGCCAGTCGGACTTTTCTTAACTTGAACATCGGGGGACTGGCGATGCCAAGCGTTCTGTGAGCCAAACGCAAGCATCGTCTTTCCACAGCTGAGCCAAGGGCACAACGGGACTGACACACGATGCCTCTGCAGGAACCGACTGCTCAATGTCCAAGCTATTTTGTGCTCCTTGCTGCCAAAGCCACAGAATGCCAAACCTCCTCCTGGCTGGAGCCGTTAGCCAGAAGGGTTACTAGGAGAGGCAATCAATTGGGTGGAAGTTTGTTACAGAGAGGGAAGCAGAGGCCTGAGGGGTTTCTGGGGTCTCCTGTGGATTTGCTGGTTTTATTTTGCAGGCATGTTGAGTTGCCGATTATGACGCCTGCCTCTTCCACAGCCTGCAAAACCCCCTCTGCACTGTGGAACAAGATTCTCCCATTCCCCCTACAGAAGGGGTGCCCAGTGTGTTGTCCGCCAGCACCTTTCTTGCTGCTTGTGTTTTCAAAGCGGGTGGGGTCAGGTGGGGTTGTCGCCCAGCAAGGCTTCTGACTGGCTGTGTAGATTTTTTAAAGAACACTGCTTTGACAGGAACTGCCACCACAGCACGAGGACCCTCACTGCCACCATGCTGCGTCACAATTCTGAAGGGGCCTGCAGGCTCACAAAGTTTAGGGACACCTGCCCTACAAGCTGGCTAGACTGGCTCATTTGTTCAGGTTTCAGCTGGGCTTATGCTTTCTGTGGTCCCATTTTATCTCAATTTCTCCAAACTTATCAACATAAAAATGTAACCCAATTTATCAGGAGGTTCCGGAACTTGGAACTTTGCACCAGAGCTTGTTTGACAGAGCCAGTTTGGTGTAGTGGTTAAGTGTGCAAACTCTAATCTGGGAGAGCCGGGTTTGATTCCCCACTCCTCCACTTGCAGCCGCTGGGTGACCTTGGGCAAGCCATAGTTCTGTCAGAGCTGTTGTCTCAAGGACAGTCCTCCAGAGAGCTTTCTCAGCCCCACCTACCTCACAGGGTGTCTGTTGTGGGGTGGGGTGGGAAAGGAGTTTGTAAGCCGCTCTGAGACTCCTTTGGTTAGTGAGGGGTGGGGTATGAATCCAATCTCTTATTATTATTATTGCACTGAGACATTATTTGGAGTATTTTACTTCCAGGGGTCACCCTGAACTTGAAAGCATGTCAGCAAAGGTACAGGTTCTGAGAATTGGAGCCAGTTGTGAACTGAAACAATGGGTCGGGGCGGGGGTGGGGGCTGAACAAGGAAAAAACGGAGGGCACACAAGGACTCACACTCCACCAGGAGCTAAGGTTGAACATCTAGAAGCTTTATTTAAACCTTTTACATTAAGTAAGAAGAATCACAACATCAAAATCCGGAAATGTTGCTAACGGAGACAAGTCATTAAGTATTACAAGTCCGAGAACAGGAGAGAGGGAAGGAACAAAAAGGCAAGACGTAAAACAAGCTATGAACCGGCCCAGCTGCGGCAAGGCATGGGCTCTGAACTCTCTCCCCGCCCCATCCCCGCGCCCCCCCTGCATAATTCAATACTGCCGAACAGATGGCCACGGGGGATGTCTCTCCGGGTGCTCGTGCACATCTAGCGCCAGAGGAGCAGCGGGGGAGGCCTCGCCGGATCTCCACAGCCCCTGGGGCACAGGAAGCCCTTTGGACCGCCGGGGGAGCAGCCCCCCTCACGCTTTGCCTCGTGTCCCCCTTCCTACTCGACCCGGAGGAGGAAAGGACAGGTGAGCTGCCCGCCGCAGTCAGAGATTTCAGGCCTGCCAACTGCTTCCTGCCTACGTTGGCCTTTCCTCTTCCCCTGGGTCACATTCCTTTCTCGTGTACCTCTGCTTAGAGAGAGAGAGAGAGAGAGAGAGAAAGAAGCAGCTTGAGGTAGGGGAAAAAACCAAGGTTCTCAGAAAAGGACTGACAAGAGGTGACAGAAGGAAACCTGGATAACCAGCAGCACCCCCTAAGTAGCAGGCCATGCCCCAGAGCAAGGATGCACACACCGCTTTCCAGACCCCCGTAGGAAACGTGCCGGGCAGACCGCTTGGGAATCTGCCCTCAATGGGAGGAGGCTCAAAAGTGGAACTCCGTCCCATAAAGCACGGAAGACTACCAAGAAGCACGCTGGGCCCAAGACCTTTCAGCACTCCCCACCCTCCACTGCCCCATGACTCCGCCACATCGTGGTCTTGCCATGCACACCTCTTGGACTGCACAGTGCCCCGTGGATGCCCCGGGTGTACCTGGGTGGCCTTCGCCAGGCCAAGCCTTAAGAAGAACACCAATCTCTGGCATTTGGTAACTCGCTTCCTGCCTGCCACGTGGGTTAGGAGGAGAGGAGAAATCCTGGGAAACGTGGATGGAGTTGCCGCGGGGACCCTGCCCAGCCAAGAGCAAGGGATACAAGCCAAGGAGCTGCTCGTAAGCCAGCCCCACCCGGGGGTACACGACTGAAGGCCAGGCCGGGCAAGCGACACGGTGGAAGATGGACATACGCACATCTTACTCTC